AAAGGTGAAGTATGGATATTTGTTTTAGGTTTTACAAATCCAGATTTGCATCTCAGTTTTGTCAGCTTTTGTTGTTTTGATGCCCCAACCCAATCCATTATTTGCTCATTGAGCTCATACACTGCTGCTTTGAAAAGTTTTGAATTGTTTGTATGGACATTGTCATTGTCAAACTGGCAAATAATAGTGGAAATATTTAGAAAAAAACTATGACATAGTATATTATGTCCAAAATGTCAGAAAAATCTGAATAGTATCATTTCTGAGTAATATGGGAAAAAAGGAAAAGTGAAAATATGACAAAAAAAACTACGTAGTAAAGTATGTCGAAAATATCAGAAAAAAAGACATAGAATAGTATGTCAAAATAAAATAGAAAATAAGCCAAAGTATAGAACAGGAAAATATGCAAAAAAAGACATGGTATAGTATGTCAATAATATATTTTTTAAAAACATAGTATGTCAAACATATCAGAAAAAACATCACAGTTTAGTATGTCGAAAAACGAGTTTTAATGTCTGTACAGCAGTTTATCATGCATCCAAATAGAAGTTCTTCATTCAGGTTACTATGGGCCATTGCGTGATAAAGTCTATGTGCAGTACAACATTTATAGTTTTGTTACGTGCTGTGTTTTGTTTGTGAGTATCTCTCTCCCTCTCTCCCCCTGATTGTCTCCCTCCAGGTGCAGCCTCTCCCTCAGGTGTTCCAAATCCGTAGTCAGGTCCTTAGGAAGGCTTCAGTCTGTCTCCCTTCCCCTCTTCTCTGGGCTGCAGGTGTGATCAGTGTACCTTTTTGTATTGTGTACTTTTATCAGTTTATTTTGTGAGAAAGTTGTTCTTATTTTGTCTTTATTCTTTTTATTTTTTTCTATTGGCTGGTGAGCCCTCTTTATTTTTGATTAATTAAACAATATATTTTTATTTAGCAAATCAGTTTCCTCTTTCTTTTTCTCTCCCAGTTATTTGATATGTTGTTACTCCCCTTTCCCCCATAGATTATTAGGAAACGTAACAGAAGCTAGTAGTTGATTTGTTTTCACATGTTAACTTCCATGCTAAAAACAGACATAAAACCCAGTCAGTTGATACTTTTAAATATTCTAGTAGTTATATTCATGCCGCATTCGTCTCATTAGTATGCATAAAAAAGTGACAGGTCACACCTCCCCCAATTATACAAATGAGCTAAGTCCCGCCACCCTTTGTTCGAGGTGTGATATCCCAAGTAGGTGTGATATCCCAAGTAGGTGTGAGATCTGTCGATAGGAGGGGGTGATGTGTATTCACAGGTGTGAAAAAGCCCCCACTGTAGCGCCTTATGGCGTCAAAAAAATAAAAAATAAAATGCTGTTTCAATCACATTAGTATGCATAAAAAGTGACAGGTGGGCCCGCCCCCAAGTGTTTGTGTTGTGTGTGTGTGTGTGTGTGTGTGTGTGTGTGTGTGTGTGTGTGTGTGTGTGTGTGTGTGTGTGTGTGTGTGTGTTGGCAAGAGAAAAAAGCCAAAATCCGCCAAGGCCATTAACAAGAAACCGAATTCCTTACAAAGTACTTCATATAACACTGTTTCGATGAAACAATGCAGTCTTGATAACTTGACTTGACTAACATTACTTTTTTAAATATATCGTTTTCGATGCTTTACTTTGATCTTTCTTTCATGTTATTTTAACACATACGTTACTTTTTTCATATTTTTTTCAACAGTCGCCCCCAAGTGCTAATCTCCAGTCTCAAATCACAGCTTTGAAAAAGTTCAGTCAGAGCACCAAAAAACTGCGTCCACCGTTTTACAAAATGAAACAGAACAAATGCAGACTTGACTACTTGGCAGCTTATTAAAGCAGATTGTCCTTTTTCATCGTCTCAAGTTTGGGTCCTGTTCAAGCACTGGGTACACGCAAATATACATTCAGGGATACTACCAATGTGCACTTTCTGGTACGTAAAAAAAGTAATTTTTTAAAGTTGTAAGCACTCTCAGAAACTATACCACTTCTGATTTCGCACTTAGAGTGCTGTAGATCAACTTACTCATCAAGCTGAAGCTCTAGCTTGATTGCACCCACGAATTTCGTCTACAATTGGATGTAGAATCAAAGATCGACAATCAGCATTTAAATTGCTCCCTATAAGCACTCGCCTGTCTCTCTATGAACATTATGCTCTGGCTCTGAGTATGGTTTCTCACCCCTTTCACAATCAAAAGCCCAAACACAAGTACTTCTCTCGAGTCCACTCAAAGAAAGAAAACATAACCCAAAATGCAATACAAATGTTAACAGTCTAAGCTCCCCCCACGCCCCAAGTCTGGACCAAACCGCGCCACGTACCCTCGCCCATGGAAGCGACACCTACTGCAAACGGATTTAGGGGGCGGATGCAAGTTATGCAAGACGAAAAAAAACATTCTATCTAAAAAGCTAGATAACACCAATCTACGTATTGGATCAGCTATGAGTATCAACAAAAACACTATGCATGTTCGATCAAGACGCGAGCGAGTGTTCACCTACGATCAATCAAGATACGAAGGGATCCAACTGGATTTTTAATTGGGAGCAGAATAGACACTATCTCTCCAGTTCAAGTCCCTGGCAACAGGGATCGTCATACTTGGACTCGGAACTTGGACTTTTTAAGACAT